TAAATTTCAAAAATTGGTGTGAAGAGCCAAGTCTATTATCCGGTCTAGAATATAACAGGGCTCTGATCCGAGAATTCTCTGGAACAGAGAACCACGAACCTGGAGGGGGGATAGTGTTGCACAAAGAAACTGCTGACAGACCGTCACTCCCTGAGGACCTAGACAGTCCACACTGACAAATGCTACACAACCTACAGCCATTCTGATGCAAATATATTGTATTAGTGTATCTGAGTGTGTATTGGAGAAACTAAAAGGGAAAAATAAATACCATTCAATATACATAATACAATGACGATGTGGAAGGAGTGATATGATATGAACTCCCACCATAAATTTTGTCTGTCTGAAGCTGTAATTGTTACCGCATATACTGTAAACTGGAATGACACTATTACAAAAGTAATGAACTCAAGGTAGAGCATGTCATCATGCTGGTCATTTGCAATCATGATTCACGTAAAAATTTACACATTTGTGAACTGTGTTCAAAAAGACATAACTTGATCCTCATTCCACTGAGATTTTTTACCAAATAAAAAAATAGTAGCATATAAAATTTAGAAATGCTCAGGTACATCACACACTGACAGCAGTACAGAAATTCCAGAAATCAAGCACGTTTGATACAGATGGTAGTCGTGCAGCAGTCGCTCTAGAGTAAACCTGTAAATGGTTGTCCACCCTAACAGATGCCATCAATCTCTCCTTTAAATTATGGCCCAGACCTTGAAAACTGTTGCTGAAATGTCTGTAAGAAAAGCATCCCAAGGTGAAGAAATAATGGGAATCAGATAGTACAGTGTCTTATGGGCTGCAACAACATTGTGTGCCTTTACACGTGTGCATGCATGTTTGTGTAAAACATGCTGTCTTGTATCATGCTTTTGAGAAACAAGTGTCCTTCAAAATACATGAAACCTTGTATTGGATCCACTGTTGTGTATAAATTTGTATGTGCATGCGTTCACATGTTTAACTTACACACAGGTCTGCCTCTAAAACTAACCAAGTCTGCACTGATTTAAATTAAGGTGACTTCACCATTAGCAATGGTCTAGCAAATCATCATTTCACCATCAATCATTTGGTAGGGGAATGAGTCAGGGAAGGCCAGAAGTGAAGTATCCAGATGTTCAGCAGTATTAAACCTAAATCTTAACCCAGGCTGGCTTATTGCCTAACCTGTTCAAAAACAGACAGAGACGGGGAGAGGTAGAAAGGAAGAGAGAGAGTCAGAGAAATAATAAGAGTTTGTAAGAAGAGGCATAAAAATGAACAAATTAATGTAAGAATGTAAATGTAAAAGGGGGCAGGGAGGAGAAAGAGAATATGGGTTACAGTGAGGTGAAAATAAAGTGAAGGTAAAGGTCCTCCTTGATTCCTTAAAGCACAAATGCTTAGTTTTGAACAGCAACATTTCATCAAGACAGGGTTTAGAGTAATAACACAAGAGCTAAAACATGTATATTTCCATTCATTAAGCACTGTTAAACCAGACTGGCTCTAGAGACTTCATCAAGACAGGGTTTAAAGTAATAACACAAGAGCTAAAACATGTATATTTCCATTCATTAAGCACTGTTAAACCAGACTGGCTCTAGTGTCAGTTTGTTTATTTAAATTCTTGCTCTTCAATTCTTGCACCAACTACCTTGGTTGGTTAGTTTGGTACACATGCATGTTGACAATTATATTAATACAGTTTTAATATTTCAAACATGTTTTTTAATTATTCTGTGCCCTTTCATTAAAGAGTCGAATTTGCATCTGCTATGCTCATGCTGTGCTGTGTCAAATTCTAGCTGGCAATAAGAATGTTGTAAAAAGGGCTTAAATCAGGCCCTCCGAATCCTGCAGCCAGTAAAACAGACAAAAAGGCAAGAAAAGGGCAGCATGTAATTTACAAGAAGTAATGTACATTATAAAATCAGTGATGATGTGATGGAAAGGGGGTGTAAGGGAGAAAGGAGTGAGACTGGTGAGGGACAGTAAAGGACACCACAGAGATAAAGGTAATCCTGAAAAGATCAATTTAACATAAAGCAATTTCAAGCCAATACACTTCCTGTAGCTGACTAGTAATGTTTTTACTCTTTTCTTCCTTGTGCGAATTCTCTGGAAGTAAATGGGTTTCTATGTGCATGTACACTTGCTCATTACCACAGTGTGATGCTTAAAGCAACTGACGAACCATGGACCCATCCATTAACATGTCATTTCCAGAATCGTGTAACAAGCTTCAGCCGCGAGTGGAGATCAGATCATATGGAGTTGTGTGTTAATGGGGGTTTGGATGGATGGGTTCATATAGGGGAGATTTATCATCTATGGTTGAGGGCTCAGAGCCCTAAAACCACTGGATTTTTAATCCTAATCCAAGAGCTAAGACCTCTGCCGTGTTGCAACACTGAGTGCTTGGCTACCACAGCCATACTTCAGCGCCATGCTGAACACAGTCTACCATGCTTATCTTTCTAGAACAAAAACTAAATAAAGCTCCACAACTCATCAGGAACATTTTAGTTCAGGGAGTCCCTATACAGTTCCACAGTTTTCAACCTGTGGACCATTTTAGCGTTGTCAGTGAATGAACAGCGCCACTTACACCAGCTTAACACATGACTGAAATGCTGAACAAGGGCATTAAAAGTCAATTTTACATAAACTTCATGATTAAAAGAGCACAGAGTCTGGCAAAATGGTCAGTATTGCTGAGCATGGAAAAAATACGTAGCAGGCAGACAGTGTCTGCAAGAGAGATAGAGAGAGACTAAATGAAAGAGACATCGAGAGAGATGAGGCGTTGCATTGAAATCAAGCAGATATTATTACAGCATCTGTGCCAGGCAAGTGCTCTCTCCAGTCTCTGATCTTGTGAATGAGGGTCAGGAAAATAAAGTCCTTGGAGGGTGTACAGTATTATACTTTTGGTGCACCTGAAGACTTTTATATATAGTTGTAACTATATGTTCACTTCTTATGAAAAAAAGTGTTGGTCATTACTCTCTCCGTTCTCAAGCTGTCCCACATGTCAGTACTGTGCTGGGTAAAAAGGCCTTTGTTTATTCTGCTCCCTTTACATGGAATTTGCTGCAGAACAACTTAAAACTTAGTAAATTGATTCCTTTAAGTGTTTTTAAGTTGAGAATGACATGCTTTGAGTTGGACTCCCTCACATGTCAATGTTTTTATTGAGATTTCATTGTAAGTGCATAATTGGCTTTCATTTGTGTGTCTTTGTACGTATGTAATGATGTGATGTAATTTTGCTGCCTATCTTGGCCAGGTCTCCCTTGCAAAAGAGATTTTTAATCTCAATGGGTTTTTTTCTGGTTAAATAAGGATAAATAAAATAAATAAAAAAATAAAATATAATTAAAAAATTGCCGGAGGAGTAAACTTGCTAAGTCACAATTTATCTGCAGTTACAAATTCTAAGGTACTTTTACAAGACTGCAGGAGAATGTATGAGAAGTGGCTCCATCATCTGTCTACACAGCTGCGTGGAGCCCAAGCTAAATCATATTTCTATTTCAAGTAACTAAATTGTTCTATCTCGCCTTGTTTGGCTGTTGTCTTGTGTTTTCCCTTGACAGACTAAAGCTCCTTATCAATGCTACAGTGAATGTGAACATACCAGGCCTACAAGCATCTAGCTGGTTCTTTAACCCCATGCCAAGACAGTCCTAAGCAAGCCTATTCTCTATCAGTCAAACGTGCCTCACCACGACACTAAATTATGAAGAGATCCACAGACATCAGCTGTAGGTGGTGTTTGTGTTATATTTTGGTTAGCCATTTGAATGCTAAGTGAATATAACATCTATATATCTGTCTATAGCACTATAATTTACATTTCCATTGTTACTGCAGGAAATTCCTTAACAGAAAGTTATCTTAAAGACCAAAACCCTGTTGGCAGATGTGTATTGTTTAAGAGAGAAAATAGGAAACCCCATACAATTTTGAGACTCAGTGCTAAATGACATGACTTGATGTGTAGCTTTGTATATCTTTTGCAGGGCCATCACAACTTTGACAGCAGACAGGACCCCCCCCCCCCCCTTAGTTCCCGACAAGATGACCACTAACCGGACCGGTATGGAGATGTGAGGGCAGTGGAAGGTGGCTGGTTTTATGGTTGCCCACAGTGGATACACACACATAGGCTACTGTATGCACACACACACACACACGCATATGCACACACACATATGCATACATAGAGAGTTTGAAAGCATATCTTCAGCAAAGCCGCTGTGTCAAACTGGTAAGTACACAACCCAGATGTTACAGATGATGATGATGGGATGGAGCTTAGGAGAGTATTAGAGGCATGCATGCACATCTCATTGCAGACAGACATGTGCACAGTGTTTAAAAAGTGTTTAAAAACTCTAAGTGTAATAAATCGCCTATTTTAAAACATAAGTGTACCTTTGTAAGGGGACCAGACTGTTAAACATACATACAGGGAGCAGAAAGGGAGGTTTGTTTTTTTTTACTAATTCACATTTGTTGTTTAAATATTCAGAAGCCAGTGTTATTCAGTAGAATATTTGGTGACTATAAAACTAATTACAGTAGGCCTAATTCAGTCCTTCCGCAGCTCTCCTGGGGGCTTCATAAGATAAATTAAATATTCCTGAAGTTCCATCTCCTTTGTTTACATGATGTGAGCAAAACAAAGCATAAATTGCCTCCAATCAAATTGAGGTTTAAATCTCGCCTTTAATTATAATATCTCTAATGCAGAAATGCCTCATATTAACACCAAACCAAGGATCATTAGTCCCTTTAGAAATAAAAGATAACGGCAAATATAATCTTACGTCTAGATTTTCCCAGACACGTGCAAAACCTCTGTCAAAATCGACTCATCTCAATTTCTGATTTTCTTAATTTATCTAAACTCACAGTAGGAAGTGCCATTAAACAAACAAAGAAAAAAACTTAATTAGGCGCGGACCTCAAGAGCCACTTATCCCTAAACCTACCTTTGAAAAGCATGACCGCACAAATATAAAATCCAACCGAACAAGGTCCCCAAAACTTGTGGCACCGCATCCTGGCACAGCTCTGTGAAGTCCGCCCGGGGCAGCGGCTCTCAGTGTCGGCTAGACAGGGTATCAGCTCCGGATTGGAAGTGGTGTGAACATGAGGCTGGACATAGACGATGAGGAGGCAGACAGAGTGTGTGAGATAAAGAAAAAACAGACTGACAGACGAGAAAGAGTGTGGGGTTCAGAATGGTGCGTTTACGGAACACACTCTCTCACGCGGAACACAGCGCGGCACGAGGACGCGCGTGCGAGCTTGAGTTGCCATAAATATGGCTGCATATGACTTCACGCAGGTTACCCAAGCATGACAGTAACTACAAAGACGTTCCTGTAATGTCTGATAGAGACGGTCACTTCGGTTATATGCAACAGTGTTGTTGAAGATTAGCCTAACCTACTCGGTTGCGAAAAAGACCGTATGCTTGTTTTTAATTTCTTATTGCACACTTTAGCCTAGCATAGCCTACTATTGGTGTGATGTTTAAATCCTGAAATTGTTGATGTTTTTATTTAAAACGGTTTTTGAAGATTTGTTAAATATTTACCTTGTGTCTAATTAAGCTCTACTAACTTTATAAACTCGTTGTTAGTGTGCACTCACCAGTCTCCAAGCTGTAAATGCAGCAGGGGGTGGGGGCGTGTAACGTAAACAGAGTGCGTGTTTGTGTGTGTGTGCTGGATGCAGAAGAGCCTAGACCCTCTTAACTTTGCTTTGGTGTTCACAAACTGCACTCTTATATGCACTGTTTCACAAACTGCACTCATATATATATATATATATATATATATATATATATATATATATATATATATATATATATATATATATATACATGTATGTATGTATATATCTTATATTGAAAGTACATTTATCATTTCATCTTTAGATTTAGTAGGCTATTAGATGCTTTGTTTATTTTTTGCATGTAGCACTTGTGCCTCTAGTCAGTGTGATGTCAAAACAAATGGCATGATATCACAAATGATGGTGTGGCCAAACGAGCATAAGTTTTCTGGATTATGTGATTCAAAGTTGATTTACACTTTAACAATACTTAAATCTAAAGCTAAAATCACTGTGAAGTATTTTCTACTCTAATCATTTTTATAATAACAATTACAATGGCTCAAATTACTATATAGGCTAGTATGAAAGGTGTTGATTGTGATGAACAAGCAGCAACCGTGTCTGAAAAGTGAAGCCAATGCAGAAGTTCCTTAAATCTGCATTCTTTCTAAGGTCCAGCAACTCCACTGGTTGCTAAAAGTCCAATTACATTGTAGTCAATGACAAGATGTCCCTACTTCTCACTTTTATTACCTCAGTAAACACTTTCCTAATGAGTTTATGGTCTCAATTACTTCAAGTTTCAAGTCTGCATGATGTTCATTTTGTAAATTATGGACCCATTTGGAGGAAAATATATAATTAAGCAGGCTATGCTTTAGGGTATGGCTACCTTGTGATTGACAAGTCAGATAGCGGATAGAGGTGAATTGTATCTACTGCATTGTGTACAATTAACCAGTGACATTAAAAATCTTATAAAAAAGACAGCATTTAGCGAGCCATGAACTTGTTTTTGGGTGCTGTTGGTGTTTTTGTGTAAGAACTTTGATGTTTTCACAGTATGTTTTAGGTTCATAAAAGTTCATTAAAAAATTTTGGTTGTCTGAGAATGTCTTGTTCAGTGTTTGGTTGTACTAAAAGACAATTTGCTGTCAAATGTTTTTTCAGTACATTTTGTTTTAATCCTGTTTTTTCGCTTTCCAAAATTAGCATCCCATTATTTTCACAGTTAATGTGAATTATGGATGCACCTTGCTAACAAAGTTGGCTAGCTCCCACCTCTCTTCCGAATATGGTCACTTCTGGTTCCAAAAAAAACAAGGTGCCGACAGCTAAAAAGCCAGACTCTAGGCTGCAAAGTGGTAGTCCACAAACCAACAGGTGACGTCACGGTGGCTACGTCCACTTTTTTAATGCAGTCTATGGTGATGAACCCACAGAAAGTTATCCGACTGCAGTCCATTCAGCTCCAGGGAGCTTTTTTATTGTCTTTCAGGTCATTTGGTTTTACAGCCAGAACTTTACTATTTTGGTTCAGTATCACTGTTCTCATCAGCATTGTTTCCAGCCACAGCAGGCATCTGTTTTCAGCTCAAAATCTCAATAACCCACTGTACGTTACTTCTCCATCACCAGACAAACAAAGTTAGTGAATAGCTGGTGAACATAGTGGAGCTTTTAAAGGAAAACAGACTAACAGGAGAGTATATATTGGACTTCCATTCATAATGAGGACAGAGACACAGCTCCAAATGAATGCTAATGTTGCTCTGTGTCGGCTGCATGAATAAGCAACACAACACATTCGCTGTATCAACTTTATAATTTGAAAATGTGTCAACGTTTACAGCTTGTTGAGCTGCTCCCCGAGGCAGCTTAACAAGCTGGCTTAAAATCAGTTTATGCTGGTTTAAGTGAAATACCATGGATTCATAGCTACAAACTCATCTCACTGTTTCTCTGTGCTGGACACGACCAGGCCTGAAACTCTGGCCCATAAAGTAGATCACTTCTCAGCCCTCCTTCTCCCACAGCTGTAGGCTATTGAATGAGATTAGTGTCACACTGCAATTTCCCACTTCTGGATGTTAAAACGAGGTTCATCAACTGCATTTATGTGTCGTATTTGGCACCTTTTTGTGCCAGCCTGGCTCATAATGAAATGACCTATTTATTCCAGGCCATAAATAATTCCAGTTGGAAATAGGATCCGACAGGTGATGAGGAGGAACACTATGTATTTCTGCAAATGTTCCCACCACTTGGCTCCCTTTTTCTCTCTCTCTCTCTCTTCCTCTCAATGGAACAGGAGCGTATCATCTAAGAAGCAGTCCTGTGCCAGTGGTATTAGACCAGTTCCTGCTATTTTTCATACCCCATGTGTCTACGTCTTCTAGGTCTGGAGCTCCATCAGAGGAGATTTATGCTGTTAGATGCGATTTGGTACAGAATTCCATATCTGTCTGTGCTGTGGGTGGGCCGACAGCCGTACTGGGCTCAGTAAAAACCTCTGATCACAACCTTCATCCTTGTACGTGCTCTCGCTGGGCAAGCGTCTAGTCAGTGAGAATGCAGTGACATTAAACTAATCCTCATTGTGCCAAGAAAACCACATTGAGCAGCCAACTGTGAACTAACTGAAGCTAAAAGTTTTGTTAAAACTACCAATAACTTTACTGAGGTTATGGAAGAGCTCTGTTGCATGTGATCAGCAGTATATACGCGAGTACAAAGTGAAAAATAACATGAACAAATCCAAAATCATACATTTCTTTCCACTTTAGAACTTACCGTGACATACCCACTGCAGGGCATGCAAATATACTGCTTGCAGAAGTGATAAACTGACGTGGAAATCAAACAAAAAAAGTCATCTTATTTTTTATTATCCATGACGTCGGGCCTGTTGTAAACTTTGATCAATCTGATCTTGCAGCTCACGGTTAGAAGTGTCAGATTTGTTTTGCCATGTATGACAAAATGATATGTATAACAAGACAACAATGTCAAAATCAATTTCAAAACTTAACAAAGGCTTTGAACCACAAAAGTCTGACAGCATGCAACATAAAGAGCTGCTGGCAGTGTCTGAAGATGGATCACCTTTATAGGTTTGTTGCATGACATTATAACTCCTAGGATGTAGATCTGGATATGCATACTGTATGCAAAGGTGTGTGTGTGTGTGTGTGTGTGTGTGTGTGTGTGTGTGTGTGTGTGTGTTTTTGCAGTGAATCTGTGAATCTCTTTCAGCAAAAATTCAAATATTCTCCCCGTGTGTTGCATCTTCCTGTGCTCTCAACATTATTTTGCGCCTTGAAGAGGAGGGGTTGCAAACACTGTTACACACCAGAGAACAGAATGCACACAACACCCCACCACCACCACCACCACCACCACCACACACACACACACACAGACACACACACACAAACACAAAAGTGCAGATTGATTTAAATCTGAGCCCTAAATTCTGTTTATCATATATTTCTCAATTATATGGTAAAACAACAAAGCAAGAACACATTAGACACCACAGAGGTTTGGCTCTCCGATGACAGCCAAACTATATTTGTTTAAACATTAAGAATAAAAGTGAAAACATACATGTAGATTTAGTCAAAGACCTGTTCCTGAGAATCTGAATCACTCTGCTGTTAGGCTTTTCAGAATTTGAACCTCTACAATCTGTCCACCCTAATGCGGCATTTTTTACAGCGCAGAAAATAGTGCAAAGACCAGAAGCAGCTGTTTATTTTCTGACTTACTATAAATGAGTAGTGTTCTACTAATGGACCTAAACGTTGCACCATTGCTTCTTTCCTTCTTGTCTCTGTCCTTCTTCTATTACTTAAAATACATCTAGCAAGCACATCATTGCTGACAACACAGACAGTGATACATTATTCTGCTTGCATGTGGATGTGTATGAACACCACCACACAAACAAAAGTGAAAATAGATAAAGTCAGCAATGACAGTGGTGCATAGCTTCTCATCTCAATCAACCCCTTTAACAGAAATCTATATGAAATTTTTGATCCAATATTTTGTTAAACATCCTCACCACCCACTTTCCTGTTTCCAAAGTATTTGAAACATTGAAACATTTGCCTGTCCCAGGGCGTGTGTGTGTGTGATAGAATGGGGTCAGATGAGTTTTAGTTTTGTTTGAGTCGCTACCTTTGATGTGTGGAAGACTTAAAGCTTTTGCTGTGACAGAGAGCAAAAGGGTCCCAGAGCTACCCAAGGTGTGTGTGTGTGTGTGTGTGTGTGTGTGTGTGTGTGTGCAGTTCAGCATTCCTACTTGTCATTTGAGATCTTTTCAGAAATATGTGCACATGTATAAAACACATTTTAGCTAATTATGTTTGGAAAAATTATAAAAACAACAAGTCTTTTTCTGCACTCTTAATACAATGTTTTTAAGCACATGTACCTGCATGATGAAGTGCATCTTGGTTCTCCTGAAAGCACTCCTCCTTTTGTCCTGCTGCCAGCCAGCCGTTTGTCTCTGTTACACCGCGCAAGTGGCGACTCAGTTTATTATGGGATGCCAAAGAAAGGTCAGACCTCTCATGCACACTTACGAGTTTACGGTGGAGAAGGTCAGTAGCGCACACAGGGGTGAGGGAGAGACACAGAGTCACACAGTCCGGAAAACACAAACAAAACAGAGTTGTGCATTGTGTGTGGGTGGACAAAAATGACTGATCAAAGAAAAGTTTACATCTTCAGAAGAGGTGCTCATACAGTTACATGCAGGGAAATCCTGTCGCACATTTATATACATATACTTAGAGAGGCTCGGATTCATAAATAGAAGGTGTATAAATTATTAATGAGTTTAGTTCTGTTGGACCTTTAGTTATAGTCTCTGTGCATCAACTCTCCTCACCTCAGCTTTTAGTTGGTCATTTTCGTGTGGCTGCATCAGTGTTTAAGTGAGAGTGTAAATATTACATCACACACGAAAATTCACAGGAGACCTCCTGCTCATACATAAAAAGGATGTGAGCTTTAATGTAGCACTGTGAAAAGTAGAAACCCAAATTAATACTCCTGGGACCTGCTTTGAAATTTTTAAGGTCTTAGCGAGACTCAAAAACAGGCTTTAAATTCCCTTCCTTTAGGTAATGCTACATTGTGCATAATTTGTAAATATTTTACCCTTCGATTAAATGCATCA